CCCCCCCCCCCCCCCCCCCCCCCCCCCCCCCCCCCCCCCCCGCTAATCTCTCAATCTTTTAATTCCCACTCTGTGTAAGGCTGTCCCAATAGTCATTTGAGACTTTTGGAGAGGGGAGTCAAACACAGATAAAGTAAAGCACCAGACAGTACAGAGAGACTGAAAGCTGAAGGGTGTGGAAAGATGGGGACTCTGCCACAGTAAAGACACTCGAGGGCTGCAGGTTCATGACTTAGTATCATATCTGGCCTGCATCATCACCCTCCACCACCGCCACCCACACTGTCGTACAGGAGCAGGCCGCAGGTAAGGAAAAGAGCGGTCAACAGCCAATAATCAGGTGACTCTCTCAGGTGACAGTCTTGTGACAAGGCAGCTGTTTCCATCAGAAGACTGCAGTGCTGGCTAAGAGAGGGATTGCTATTTTGAGTACAATGTAATCATGTTTCCTCTCCACCTCTATCAAGTTCTTAGCCACCAGACTCATGGGATGCTGTTTAAAAACATTTTTTGCTGCAACATCGTTTTGAGATCTCCCAGAAATAGTTGTAACACAAAGAATCACCTAAACACATTAACGTGTTGCATGTACTTGATGCTTATTATTTTCCAATAGCCGAGGATGCAACAAGGGTTCTGATTCAACTCAACGCAAAACCCACAACGAGAAAGCAGTTAAAACGACATTTTGTTTTCTTAGAAGCTGGAGAATTTTAATTTTTATTTCAAAACCAAATTATGAGTGTTCACAGTGATTACCTCCCTGATGTGGGATGGGAGCGGCACCTTTGACTTTTCAGTTATCCCGTTCTGTGCTTGCTTTCTGTGCCGTAATTACTTCGTTTTCAAGAGTGTGCATACAAATAACATCAATATGTTATTGTCTAAAAATAAAATAGGTAAGGCTAAAATCGCCTTTGAGATGCCCACTCAAGTCCCTCTACTTTCGTCAGAAGAAATATGCATCACACCTTTTCCTGGGTATTGACACACACACACACATGTTAACAAATGTAGCATGGCTTCATATGTGCGTTCCTGCGCGTGTGCTGAAATACAAACAGTATCCTGCATTAGTATACAGTGTCCTTTGTTCAACCCAGCAGTTCATCTTGGCAGGCTCTCCAAGTCTGTTCTTTCACTCTGCCTCTTTATTCTTCACTGCTGTGTTCTTTAGTGTGGACTGACAAGGCATAGTCATTCTTGCGGGGACGAACATGCAGTTTTGTTTATAACTCTTCACTGGTACACACAAGCTGCGTCTAACATCCCTGTTATATGTAATTAATGCTCTACAGGAGAAACTAGGTCATTCCTGGTTCACAGGGAATACACATTTCTAATACATAAAGCTGCAACACTTGTCACTCCCTCCACCATTTTCCCACACTCCGCAGACGCTGGTGTCATTTCCATCTGTGTTAACTTTCTCAGCATCTTCATCAACTAGTTCAAAACTTAAAACTAGTTTATCCTTCGACCAGAAAAACACAATCAGCTTGGCCCAAGGAGCTTCTCTTTCAGAATAAAGGTTTGCAAAGCTGAATGGATGACAAGCTCTAACTCTCCCGTCTCAAAACACTGTATTTTCTGGAATTTACAGTATGTCATTACTGTTGCTAACGGACCGCAAAGACTCCTTGGCAAGTCAATGACCCTTTCTATCTCAATTCAGATTGTAAAACATAATTCATGAAGGGTCTGAGTGCGGTCAACTGAAATCACATGTCTGATGTTGCCCAAGAATCCTGTTTCTCTTCTAAGAACAGCTACAGAATTGAGAAATGAACTTATTTTTCCGAGGTGTATTATTAAGAAATGTGATCCATACTAAGAGGATGAAGAGACATACTGAACTGTCTGTAACGCAGTCTGAGGACAAAGGAGTCACTCTTTTCTCTGAGATCTGGGGTATCCCTTCTATCCTTACACCCAGTCACCAGTCTGCTCTCTCTGCGCTTAATCTATCACCTACAACCTCACACTGCTCCCGTTGGTTCCTTGGTGCATATTCCACGTTTTCCCCAGTCAGTAGCCCCTACAGAAACATTTTAGGCAACAAAAATATCTTACAGCTAAGTTTTGTTTCTATCCTGAAATGAAAGAGCTCCAGCCCCACCCCCAGTTCTGTATCATTTTTGTGTCAAATAAGATTACAAACAGAGATCATGGAGGCACACACAGATTTATCTTCAAAAAAAAAGCGAAGAAACTGCCTGATGTCCAAAAATGAGTTATTAGCCTAGTAAGTTACTGCACTAAAAATGATGTCATAGAAAAATATTTCATTACATGTTCGTTTGGCTAGACAAAAAAAAAAAAAAAAGGCAAATACAAAAACCCCACTTTCACATAATTGTTTCTCATACGTTTATACTTCTATCAATGTGTAATATTTCAATGTATCACTCTACAAAAAAACCACATCTGAAATAACGGTGGTCAAGTGAGTGCTGGGGTTATGAATGATGTACTTTCTCCTCTTCACTTCCTGTGCTTAAAGATGTTCTACAATGACTGTGCATGACTTTAATGTTAAGCTGAAAAATAAAAATCATAAACTCACTGGCCAAGAACTCACAATAGTTCATGGCATGGAAGCTGTTTCTGGCACTTAAGTCACCAACGAGCAGCACAGGACACGACATGCTCACGTTAGCATAGGTACTCACAGGACTCGTCTGAAGTGATGTTGGGGAAAAGATCACACTCCGAGTCCAGGACAACTGTGACGAGAAGTTGCTGTAACTCTATCGCACTATTAGGTTTAGCAGGGCGACGCTGCCTCTTGTCGAAACCAAAAATGTATTCGTGATATCTGTGTGAGAAATAAATTCAAATAAAGTTTTAAAGCACCGCAGCCAAATTTTACATACATATGTGGCAGTGGACATCCCAGTGGGGCTCCTCCAATCCCAGCCACCCCATACTGGTCCAATTAGAGACTCTCACCCCAAGCTGCACATCAGAACTTCCGGGGGAGCTTTTTGAAAATACTGATGTCCAGACCTCCGGAATCAGAATCTCTGAGGGTGGGATATAGGCATGGGAATTTGAGAAGGTACACCCACACTTCCAAGTACCTCATTTCAAGAGACTGTTAAGAACCAGTAATCAAACCAATAATGGGAATCCCATCACTCTTGGGTAGGCAAGCCAATTGCATCCAGTGATGAAGGTGGTGCATTAGGGGTAATGGTGGCAGAAGGTTTCCTACACTAAGTGAGCCACAAAAGCCACATTTCTCTGTATGTGATACCTGGACCGGCTGTAGCCACACTAAAGATAGCAGAGATGGAAAGAACACGGATTCCCTAATGATACTGTTGAGTCACTTAGTCAAGTAGCTGTGGAATCCTGTTTTGGACTTCCTAAAATGTGAGATAATAGGTTTTCTTACTGCTTAAGCTTGACTAAAACAGAGTTCCTGTTATCTTCCAAAAAAAAAAAAAAAAA